CCCTGGTCGGGCCCGCCCCATAGGAGCTGTGCCCCACGCTGATTGGGTGTTGATGCCGCCCTTCATCCCGTGGTGCTGGAGAACTCAGCCCCGCACCTCCTGGACGTGGACGGGGAGAGCGGGCTGCTCTACACCAAGCAGCGCATCGACCGCGAAGCGCTGTGCCGGCGCAGCGCCAAGTGCCAGCTGTCCCTCGAGGTGTTCGCCAACGACCAGGAGATCTGCATGATCAAGGTGGAGATCCAGGACCTGAACGACAACGCACCGGCCTTCCCCTCTGACCAAGTGGACATGGACATCTCGGAAAATGCTGCGCCAGGCACCCGTTTCCCCCTCACCAGCGCCCACGACCCAGACGCCGGGGACAACGGGCTGCGCACCTACCTGCTCACCCGTGATGACTACGGCCTCTTCTCCCTTGATGTGAAGTCCCGCGGTGATGGCACAAAGTTTCCAGAGCTGGTCATCCAGAAGCCATTAGACCGTGAGGAGCAGAGTCACCACACCCTGGTACTGACGGCACTGGATGGCGGCGACCCACCACGCTCAGGCACAGTGCAGATCAACGTGCGCCTCATTGACTCCAATGACAACAGCCCCATCTTTGAGGCAGCCTCCTACGTGGTAGAGCTGCCGGAGAACGCGCCACTGGGCACTGCCGTCATCGACCTTAATGCCACTGATGCCGACGAGGGTACCAACGGAGAGGTGCTCTACTCCTTCAGTGGCTACGCACCTGAGCGTGTCCGTGACCTGTTCAGCATTGACCCACAGAGTGGCCTCATCCGTGTCAAGGGCAACCTGGACTATGAGGAGAGCGGCCTCATTGAGATCGATGTCCAGGCTCGGGACCTGGGACCCAATCCCATCCCCGCTCACTGCAAGGTCACTGTCCGCCTCATAGACCGCAATGACAATGCTCCCACCATTGGCTTTGTCTCCGTTCGCCAGGGAGCACTGAGTGAGGCTGCCCCGCCAGGCACTGTCATTGCCCTGGTGCGGGTCACCGATCGTGACTCGGGCAAGAATGGGCAGCTCCAGTGTCGGGTGCTGGGCGGTGGCGGCGGGCCCGGAGCCGTCCCTTTCACCCTGGAGGAGAACTATGACAACTTCTACACTGTGGTCACCGACCGGCCCCTGGACCGCGAGGCACAGGATGAGTACAATGTGACCATCGTGGCACGTGATGGGGGCAACCCCTCGCTCAACTCCACCAAGTCATTTTCCGTCCGCATCCTCGATGAGAATGACAACCCGCCCCGCTTCAGCAAGAACCTCTATGTGTTACAGGTGCCTGAGAACAACATCCCTGGAGAGTATCTGGGCTCCGTCTTGGCCCAGGACCCTGACCTGGGACAAAATGGGACAGTCTCTTACTCCATTCTGCCTGGGCATGTGGGCGATGTCTCCATCTACACCTATGTCTCTGTCAACCCCACCAATGGTGCTATCTATGCTCTGAGGAGCTTCAACTATGAGCAGACAAAGCACTTTGAGTTTCGCGTGCTGGCCAAAGACTCAGGTTCACCCCACCGCGAAAGTAACGCCACGGTGCGCGTCACCGTGCTTGATGTCAACGACAATGCACCCCTCATCATCCTGCCCGCCCTCATCAATGACACCGCTGAGCTGCAGGTGCCACGCAATGCTGGGGTAGGCTACCCTGTGGGCACCGTCCGTGCCCTGGACAGTGACTTTGGGGAGAGCGGGCGTCTTACATATGAGATTGTGGAAGGCAATGAGGAGCACCTCTTTGAGATGGACCCCACTAGCGGTGAGATACGCACCTTGCACCCCTACTGGGAGGAGCTCAGCCCTGTGGCTGAACTGGTGGTAAAAGTCAGTGACCATGGCAAGCCCAGCCTCTCCGCAGTGGCCAAGCTCATTGTCAGGGCCTTGGCAGGGCCCCTGCCTGAGGCTGGCGAGCCACAGGTGAATGGCGAGCAGCATCGGCGACCACACTGGGACTTGTCGCTGCCCCTGATCGTGACGCTGAGCACTGTCTCCATCATCTTGCTGGCTGCCATGATCACTATTGCCGTGAAGTGCAAGCGAGAGAACAAGGAGATCCGAACCTATAATTGTCGCATTGCCGAGTATAGCCACCCTCAGCTGGGAGGAGGGGGAGGCAGTGGCGGGGGAGGAGGAGGCAGTGGCAGTGGAGGGGGCAAGGGCAAGAAGAAGAAGATCAGCAAGAATGACATTATGCTGGTGCCCAGTGAGGGCGAGGACAGCCGGGGCCCCCTCAATGTCATGAACGTGGTGAGCAGCCCATCCCTGGCCACCTCACCCATGTACTTTGACTACCAGACCCGCCTGCCCCTCAGCTCTCCCAGGTCTGAGGTGATGTACCTGAAGCCCGCCTCCAACAACCTGACTGTACCTCAGGGACATGTGGGCTGCCACACCAGCTTCACAGGGCAAGGGACTAACGCCAGCGAGGCTCCCCCGAGCCGGATGTCCATAATTCAGGTAGGAGACTTTTAGAATACCCTGGACCTCACTTTAGACACTGGTTTAACTTTACCTTTTATATGCAGTGAAATCTGCTGTAAGGCATCACTGAAGGGACCAACACAAGTCACTAACGAGAGGTGGACTTAATGAAAATGGAACCAGACCACATCTGTGGGTCTGGTTCTGCTGTCACACTGGTGTTTCCTGTGTGATTCAAAAGTAAATGCCACACTAAAACAGAGTTATGGCAGTGCAAAAGAGAAGCATGTGGGAGTACAGGCAGGCATTTAGTAATGGGGCACACTGGGGTATTTTCTGAGAATATCATCAGGCAGAGGTAGCGCTTCCAAAGGTTTCACTTCACTTTGATTTGGAGAAGGGGGAGGGCATTTCTGAAGCAGTCATATCATCTGCAGTAACTAACAGGACGTGGGAGAAACTCTACACACTGAGGACATCTATTGCAACAGTGTATTATAGCCCACCAATTCTGTATGTACATATGAGCTGTCTTTCCAAGACAGCTGTTGTTTTAATTTTTTAAAATTTCCTTCTTTAGAAGATTTTTTTTTTTTTTTTTTTTTTTTTTAAATGCAGAGCAGTATCATTGGGGCCCCATTGCCTCCTCCTCTCCCCATAAACAACCAAACCTTCAGCACTGAAAATTCTGCTTAGTCAAATAGAAAGAAAATGTATGTGGTGATTCCCTCCTATCCCCAAATGTTAACAAAACTCACATCCTGTCATGAAACAGCAAAACAACTAGTCAGATTTCCAGCAGCCTGAGTCAATATTGATGATTGCTTTATAGCAAAAGACTTACATGCTCTGTCTTCTACCAAAGCTTATTTAGAAATTACAGCTGGGCTGCATTCTGCTGCCAGTTATATCCACACTGTCCTCTACCGACTTTTGTGAATGTGAGAAATGGCAGAATTTGGACCATTGGATACAGGGTGCTAAGCAAAGAATGACTTAATTTTTAGCAGGTAGTTTAAAGTCCAAACACAGAAGATGTATTTCAGAGTGGTGAACTCTCAGACTGAAGGTGAGGGCAGAATTTGGCTCTAGTTGATTTAATTTAAAGTAGTACTTCATGATTAATGCAGCTTAATGTTCAAATACTACAGGTATGTTCCAAAGTGATTTTTAACGTTTGGATTGAAAGCAGGCTCTGGATAATGACTATTAAATATATTTGAAATGTCATATCTGTTTTATCCTGTGGTTCTCCTAATATGCTGTTCTGAGTCATAGGGGAATGAACTGAGTGTATCAGAAGTGACACAGACTCATTTTGTGTATGCAGCAAGTGGGAAAGAAGGTGCACTGTAGATGCTTGATGTACCAAAAGAAAATTCACAATACCTTGGAGTTATCATACCCTGTGGTCTGTGAACACCGAATGTTCTAGTTGCCAGCTGCATCTAATGTTTTAAACTAAATAGAAGTGGCTGTTGGAAATTGGTAGGTTAAGTAGCCAAAATTCCAGTAACCAGTGGCCTGTAAACTAAATATTTATAACTGGGGAAAAAAAAAAAATGAAAAAGGCTGTCTGTACAAGATCACTGTGAACTAATTATCAATATACTGTTGAACTGTGTCACAGAAACAATTTCATTTTACGTCTATCATGAATTTGTGTTGCTATCAATTAGGTGAGTGGAGCAATACTTAAAATCTGAAATTGATTTTAACAAAAAGTGACACTTGAGGAAAGAGTTTAGGTTAGGGCACAATTGGAGATAATTTGATTTATAATTCATGCTTTAAAAAACCAAACAACTTTCAACCACACTTGTTTAAGTAATGTCAACTTCTTACTGTAAAATGGAGTTGTCAGAATGATAAAAAAACCCACATTTTTTTCCGACTGACAAGTGTAATACTTACTAAAAGAACAGAAAATTATACTTTTCTACAACCATGTAATGTCTATATAAAGCAATTAATTCATGTATTGATGCTACTGAGTAGTAAAGATTCAACTGTAGTGTAAAATCCCTATGGAAAATATGATTCCTTTTTTTACAGTGTTCACTGTATAATATCAGTTATGATTTTTTTTTTTTTTTTCCTGAGATCTATATAAAGCTAAAAGAGGAATTTCCTCCCTTAAAAAGGTGTGTTGTGGTTTCTATGAGTTCTCATTATGATAACTGTGGGAAATATTAACCGTAACGCCTCATAGCACATACTGGTATACCTAATACTGACTTTGTTTTCCCTGAATATCTACAGAGTGTTTTGGATGTTTAGATGATCCAGTCAGTAGGTTGGATTAGGAAACATTCAGTTTTCCCTACTGAACAACCTATTCAAACATAGTTATTGATACTATATTTTGTAGTTATATTGACAAAACAAATGCACAGTATGAAACAGAGTAGTTGGTTTCTATTTAGGAAAGGCACAGACTTAAAGTAGCTACATGGGAAAATCTGATACTCTTCACTATAATTTTGCATTACTGAAATACATTTTGTGTTCTCCATCTCCACATCCCTGGAGTAAATTTTATATAAAATTTGCATTTAGAATGTAGACACTACTTTGTGTCTGGTCCTGTACTTCTGCCTCATGTAAAATTCAAACTGCAGACTTAGGGAGAAATAGTAAAGGATCAGCCCTCTCTGTGGATCTGCAATATCCTTCATCACTCCAGGAAACCTCTGTCTGGAAAAGTAAATGGCACAATTAGAAATCAAAAGTACAGCCAGTGGAAAAAAGATACAGAATCCAAAGAGCTGCTTTATCATCTCCTTTCATTAGTCAATTCAGAAAAACAGTTTTCTTCGTTACCTCAGTAAGGGAAAGGTAAATGATTTAAGTGTTCTCTAGCGAATATTCACTTTAGCTTTTCCAGATATCTTACTGAACCACAATAATCTCACACTATATAATTCACAATGGAACGGCTTTTCTTCACTCTCATTTCCTCAGCAAGTGTTTAATGGCAGAATTCTCTAGCAGGATCCTGTTATTAAAACTTTATGGGTTTATATATATATATATATATATATATGCATACTTATATATCTACAGATATATATATACATGCTAAATATTATATTATTACTTAGTACATCCAATTCAGTCCATAAATATTTAAAATCAAATAAATAATTTCTTTCTCAGTAAGATCCAAATTTTCTCACTCTTATTAGGAGTGCATAACAATTTTATTTTTTTTTTGCTTTGCTTACTAGTAAGAGCTACTAGAGTCAATAGGCTTTATGATTCCCTTATTTCTCATGAATAGGATTTTATTCTACAGATAGCCCAATTTATATCAATGAACACCTGTAAAGTGTTGCTATTTGACTATGGGTTTCACACTGACCCAAAATGACCAGCATTTGTATAAAATACTGCCTGATACATGTAAGAGTGGTGTAGTCTTGCCTCTCTTTAAGTGACTTCTGTTATACATTAGTCACACTGTTTACCAACTTGTGTCTTTACTCATTAATTTGTAGCATTCAGCTATTTCCCATTGTTGCATGTGTTACTTAAAAGAATCAATGAACTTGTTCCATACCATAAAAATTAAATAATTTAAACATTCGTACATACATGTATGTATAAAATTTTGGATGGATAGCCAAGAATGCTATGTACCTTCAGCTTTTACTGGCACAAGAGACTTGCAAATACTTTGGGCCTCTGAAAATTGAGCATTTGTGATTTGATGTGCACATGAGATTTGATGCGTATGAAGAACAGTGTTTAGTGACACACTGGGAAGTTAGAACAGCTACACTTCAGCATGTTTCATTCCTTGTAACTTCAGCACTCATATTCTAAACATTCTTTAGAAACACTGCTTTCAAATGCAAATCTATTAAAAATATTTAAATATAGGCCAGTGCTATACAATTCTCATTGCCAGATTCAAAATTCCATGCGACCTTTGAATCACTTAAGGTCCAAACTATTAGTTTCTACTTGTTAGAAAAAAGAGGAAAGTAGGAGAAAATATAAACTCTACATGGCTGAAAGATTTTTGTTTACTCTAGACCTTAAAGACTACTGGAAAAATGTTGTTCATCTCATTCGGAGTAAATCAAGCTAACCTGCTCACCTGACTAAGAGAAACAGAATTTTGCTGTATTCTGAAGAGCAGACATTAGAAAAAGAACAATCGCATACAAACATACACGTAGATGTTCATATCTCTCCTACCAAAAAGTTCTGACTTAATCAGTTTGTTGTTCCCTGAGTGAACAAGTCGCAATTTCTTCTGGCAGGTTTTTAATAGATAAAAGAATGGATAAAAGGAAAAAAAAATAGTTTCTGTAAACAAATAGTTCTGGAAATAGGTTCCTCAAAGTGTAGAACACAGTAGTGTAGAAAACTATACACATATGCAAGCAATGTTGATCATCCTAGAGATTATTTATTATTATAGTTGTGGTGCGACTTGGACAGGTTTGTAAATATATCAGGAATGAGATGGGCATGAATAAAGAAAGCAGTGGTCACAGCTTTTGCTAAACAACCACTAAAAAAGAATGACTGTGATGCAATAAGCTCTTAGGCTGGGAATCACTGTAGCTGCTGTACTAGGCAATCCTGTAGCATTTTAAGATAAAGTTCAGATCACTCTTAATACTTCAGGCACCTGATGTTTATGATGTGTCAACAGATTACTGTCAGGTCCCTGTACAGCTTCGTCACCAGGTGTCTAGTAGTACCTAAGAAGGTAGAGTCTTGGGAAATGAAAAACATTAGCTATATTAGTGCTGTTCTGTCTCTAGATACACTATCCCATGCTTTGCTTTGAGAAACTTCAACTCAGAAATTTCAAGATTGCAAAAAGAAGTCTGCAGCTGCTGCAGTGTAAGGAGAAGCATCTTTCCTCACAGAAGTTGCATTCATTCTCAGTAATTTAAATTCTTAGCTGAAAACAGAAGTCTTAATTTTTTTTTTTTTTTTTTTTTTTTTTTTTTTTTTTTAATATATATATATATATTTTCTGCTGCAAATGAGGAATATTATTCTCTCTCACTAGA